GAGCCACCTTCCCAGCCAAAAAGTTTCTTTTAAAAATAACACTTAAACATTTTATTTGTGTTTAATAGGGATACAGGTTGACCCATTGTAACAATGAGATGTACAAGACACTGTGAACTTCACAATTTAGAGGCGAGGGTAGTTGTGGAAGTGGAAGGGAAGGGATGGTACAGGATAAACAAAGGAGTAGGCAACAATGCTTGATAAGAAATGTACTCATTACCTTGCTCACGTAACTGTAACCCCTCTGTACAGTATTTTCGTAATAAACATACACATACACACAAACACACACACACACACACACACACACACACATTAAGAACCCTGACATTTGAAGCAGATACTCTTTCACTTCCAAGTATATAAGAATCAATTCACACATATATCTGTACCTAGAGGTGACTGCCCTCAGACTCATTTGAACATCTTTAAAATAAAAACACTGAACCTTGGGGAAAAAAAAAACACTTAATTGCCTTGTCTCACATCTATTTTTACTGATAAGAATGCTTGTATAGCTTTGGCGCTGATTTGAGGTATTTTGTTTTTCTCACTACACTATGTTAGGGTTCTTCTTTAACCACAAGATATGAAATTCATCACAATATATTCAGGTCTAAGTGTTGCTTTGGCTTTTCTCCTGTATAACACTTTGTGATCACCTGTAATGAAAGTGATTGAGACTTTAAAAAAATTATTGTAAAGATGCTGTACAGAGGGGTTACAGTTACACGAGTAAGGTAGTGAGTACATTTCTTGTCGAGCATTGTTACCCCTTGCCTGTTGCTTTTCCACTTCCCTTTTTCAGAGACTTTTTTAAGCTCTGGAATATTTTCAGTTAATACTTCTGTTAAATAGTAAATATCCTAATCTTCCTCTTTTTTTCTCTCCTGGAAGTATATTGGATAATGGCCATATTGGATAAGTATCTTTTGCTTGTGTGCCATTTTGAAATGAGAAAATTGTCCGATTTCATATCACATATAAGCACTCTTTCTGATCATTTTTCTTACTTTCCCTCATTGCTCTTTGAACAGTATCTAGTTTGCTTCAAGGAAGTGTAAGCGTCCTTCTCACCTGGTCTCAGCTCTTTTTCCATTGATCTCTTGCTCCACTCATGGTCCCATCTCTAAAGCCAGCCATTGCTTAGACATGGATTTTTTAAAGCCAATTCCCTGCCCCTCTGCTCCCATTTGCCTGTCTTTCCTCTCCTAGAAGGAATCCCAACCCTGAAATTCCCTTCCCTGAATGACGTATTTTATTGTCCAACTTCCTACAGGATCTTCAGACTTCAGCTTTGACCTCTACTTTCCCCAGAGTCCTTCCTCATGTTATTCTCCAGGTCCTTCCATCCCATGCACCCCACTGCATTTCAAACTAACTATACTTCTCTCTCATCCATCACATTATGCAAACAGCCAATAGAAAAGTGCTCCTGAGCTCCTCATAGAGCCTGAAACATAAAAGATGCTCAATGTACATGCTCTGGGTTTTAACTGTACAATAATAATCTGGGCTGGAGAAAGAAACAAAAGAAAAAAAGCATGATTTATTTTTCTCTGGGAACTAGAGAGTAAAATTACATGGTAGCCAAATGAGTTGCTTGGCCAAGAGGTTTGTTATTTTTCTTTTGTTGTGATGACTTTTAGAAGGGGAAGTGAGAAAGGAAATGTTGAAAGCCCAAGATTAACCAAACAACAGATGGAGTGCTGCTTTTTTTGAAATGGGTGAGGATAAGAAGGGCTTGAATCAAAAAGGAGTATATCCTTGAGAAGGAGAAAGGATAGTTTTGTTCTGCCAGGAGAGAGATAATAGTGCCAGTGAAATCTGGAAAGTTTAAATGGAGTGAGATTTAAAGCCAAAGTTTTACCTTTGACAGTATTTATACATGTGTGAAATAAGAACCTCAAGATAGGTACACAGAGGGTTTTTTTTGTTGTTGTTGCTGTTGTTTTTAATGTTCCATGTGATTATTTTTTGTTTCTTTTGAATGTTCTTCCCCCATGGTAAATCCCCTGTTGTCACTGTATTTGATTCTGGTGCCCTGCATCTTATATATACATTTTCCTAATTTGGGGAGGGGAAGGGAAATAACAAAATGCTAAAACAAGGATACAGATTGACAATGAGACTTACAAGACACTATGTTGAAAATGAACTTTACAACTTGGAGGGGGGGAGGGAGGAGTTGGGAAAGTGGGAAGGGAAGGAATAGTAGGGGAAAAACAAAAGAGGGTGTAACAATGCTCAATGGGAAATATACTCATAACCTTATTCATGTAACTGTAACCCCTCTGTATAGTACCTTTACAATAAAAATATTTAAAAATGAATTTTAAAGAGTAGCTCATCAACACATATGCTAAACAGCTGAAATAGTATTAAGATTCTAAAAGAGAAAAAGGGAGAATGAAGAATTTCCTTAGGTCAGGAACTTTCAAGTCTTGCTGATGTACTTAATGCTGCTTATAGCCAATGGAAATTTTTTGAAGTTTATCTCTGAATTTGATGGCTCAAAATAACATTTTAAAAAGTCATTTGCCATTCATTAATTGAAATCATTAATGGAGTAGAATCATTAAGGCATTCGTATCTACTGAAGCCAATAACAAATGAAAGATTTAAATACTTGGTAAAAAAAAATGATTAAAATGAGGTGATGTAGACTCAGTGAACTATGTTCACTGCAGAATTATTTACCATACCCAAGACATGGAATTAACCCAGATACCCCTCAGTGGAAGAATGAATCAAGAAAATGTGGCATATATACACAATGGAATTCCATGCTTCCATCAGAAAGAATGACATCTCCCCATGCATAAGGAAATGGAAAGACCTGAGAAAAAAATCATGTTAAGTGAAGCAAGCCAGACCCAAAGAAACACAGGCTGCCTAGTTTCCCTCATTTCTCATAATTAGTATATGTCTAGGATAGTTCTAGCAGAGGATCACAGTAGTTCAATAGCTATGTACATATGACCTGATAAAATGATGCTAATTGAAATGGACTATAAGAGGTTTTGTTCTTAGTACACCATATTCAGTGATTTCTTTTTCCTTTGGTTTACCCTCTGTTGTCACTGTTGTTTATTTCAGTACTCTTTGTAGTGTATATAAGTTTATCTGTTTGGGGGATGGGGAGGAGGAACGGGAATCACAGAAATGGTGAGACAAAGGATAAAGGGTGAACCAATACAATAGTGATGCTCACAAGACACTATGTTGGAAATGAACTTTACAACTTTGAGGGGAGGGGAGTCAGGGCAGGAGGGATAGCAGAAGAGAATGAAGGAGGGGTTAAAAATGTTCGACAAGAATTTTACTCATTTCCTTACTTCTATAGTTATAACCCCTTTGTATATCACCTTTACAGTTAAAACAAAAAAGTTTCGAATCATACCACACCTTGACTCATACCTTCAGTCCTAGCCACTTAGGAGGGATCTGAGAATCAAAGGTTTAAGCAAGCTTGGATAGACAAATCTGTAGGTCTCTTATCTCCAATAAACTAACCCCCCCAAAAAAAAACAGAACCAGGTATGGTTCAACTGGTAAAATATTACATGAGTATAAAAAGCCAAGTATGAATGAATATATGGCCCTGAGTTCAAACCTCGTTACTGCCTCCCTCTGAATTTTTTTTTGAATATTGGAGTACAGATTTCAAAACTAAAATATTTGAAAATTTAGATTCACTTTGTTAAATTTGTGTTCAAATTGTACTCAATTTGTGTATCTACAATATACAGTTAAATAATCATAGAAAAAGCTTATAAGAAGTTAAAAAAACAAACAATTCATGAACAAAAAATACAAATAAAAGAAAATCTAAACAGCTAATGCAGCAATCTTACAAGAGATTGAAAGTACATTAAAATAATTCTATGTCAATATATACAGGTAAAACTGCAAAAATGAATTAAAGTGATTTTTATTTAATTTTATTTTTTAACATTAAACAAATATTCTGTAGTCAACATAAAAAGGTTTGGGGGAATTTTGTTTTTGTTTGGTTGTTCTATGTTTGGGTTTTTTTTGATGCCAGCACTGGGGACCTTACACTGTCCCATAGCTTTTTCCAACAAGGATGGTGCTCTACCACTTGAGATATAGCTCTGCCTCTGGCTTTTTGTTAGTTAATTGGAGATAGGAATCACTGGTGTTTGTCTGCCTGGGTTGGCTTTGAACCTTAATCCTCAGATCTCAGCCTCCTGAGAAACTAAGATCACAGGTGTGAGTCATCAACGTCTGGATCATAAAAGGTCTCCTTAAGTAATAAAGCATTTAAGAAACAAATGGAGAAGGAATCTTCTTGTAAAGTTGCTGGTGATACTCTAAATGAAATAGTTAATTTTTAAGGAAAGAATAACAAAATCAAATGGTCATAACAAAAGGCATGTATGTATACCATATACACAAATAAACACACAAATATTAGGGGCATAATCTTAAAATAGTAGCAACAGAAAATCATTGATGAGGAGATGGGGAGCATAAGAACTTAATATCAGAATTCACAACTTTTTAATCCTAACAAACATTACTGTGACCTCCTTCATTTCCAAAAGATTTATTTGCTCTTCTTTTCCCAGAGATGTGCTTGTGCATTGGTGAGTCCAAAGGCCTCCTGACCCTCTGGATGCCAGCACAATCTCTGGCAAGCTCTCAGGGAGAGGATTTTGAGTTGTACTTGTATATCAAATAAAACCCTCATATGCAATGGTATAAAGTAGCTGCGTGGCCTCTGGTTATTGAATATGTTTGTCCTCATGTATTTCAGCAAATGAATTTTTGTCAAGTGATTAGAAATAATGATATTTCAAAAAAAGAGTCTAAACTTGTAGTTTTTTTTCATAATGATCAATGTCTGGCTTTATTGGTTAAACCTAAAATATATGTTTGATATTAATGTTAGCTGATCTATTTAATTATACACACTTCAAGGTTACATAAATGTAATTTTATAGGAACAAAAAATTATTTGGCTTGAGGTTTTAAGGTTCATCTGAATGAGAAAGGTGTTTCCATCTCATGGTTTTATCTTCTTCAATACTTTCCAGCTCTTGCTCCTTAGAAAGTTCTAAGAATACCTAAGTAGGAGGAAAAGAAGGAGGAAAAGAATTATCAGCGCTTTGGATGTCTTCCAAATGAACAAGAGAAAATGCACCAGTTGCCTTCAGGTAAAATTTTCAAGAATGATACAAAGTCAAACAAGCTGACTTACCTTTTCCAGTGTGCACTGAGAGAGGCTATATTCTTCCAGGTTAAAATTTTGTTTCACTGGGAGAAAAAGAGTAGGTGCATATGCTCATGATTCATTACCAAGCATTTTTTCAGTCATATAAACTAAGAATGCAAATCATTAGTATAATATAAACAGAAGTTCAATTTAATAAAAACAAATGCTGGTCAGACAGAAAAATAAAATAGTCATAGAAAATTAACATAAATATATTAAATTCATATTGACATTAGGATTTTCTCACTATATTTTGATAACGTGCTGTGCTATTTGGTGTGTGTCAGGGAGATATATTTCTTCCATAAGGAACTGTACCAACAATTTTAATATTCTTATTTATTTATTTTGGTTGGTCGTGGGGCTTGAAGTCTGGGCTTGGGCACTGTTCCTGTACTCTTCAGCTCAAGGAGAGCGCTCTACTGCTTGAGCCACATCACCACTTCTAGTGGTTAATTGGAGCTAAGAGTCTCACGGACTTTCCTGCCCCGGCTGGCTTTGAACTCTGATCCTCAGATCTCAGCCTCCTGAGTAGCTAGGATTACAGGTGTGAACCACTGGCGCCCAGCTTAATTTTAATATTCTTATGCATGAGGAAGATTTAAGCCTCATTTCATGTTCTTTCTTATTACTTTCAGCAGATTCATGGGTGGGTTTTGATAATAGGGCTTGTTTTTAAAGCAGCCAAGAGGAAACTGTGCACTACAGAACTTGAAGATGGCAGAATACACTGATTTTAAATCAAAGCCTGCCTGACAACTAAATGGGAGGAAAGGGTTACAAAAGAATGAGAAGATAAGGATGGGACAGAAAATCTTTGGCATCACAAACTTACAGGAATCAGAAAAGAGACCCAACAATCAGAAAGCCATCCAATTCTCACTAACCCAAGGTCAAGTGCTGTAAGGAATGACAGCCAAGAGAGATGAGATGGGCTCAAGTGCTATTTCCATGGTACATCTGTGCCATGTGCTCTCTTTCTCTGCCATATTTCTCTTCTAATAAACTTTTCTAACATCTTTATTTATGTTGGTATCTTGCCTGAATTTTTCTCTTGCCAGACACAAGGAACAAGGTTGTTTAGCCACCCTAAATTTTCACGTAAAATATTTGTTATATTGGCTGGGAAGTTGGAGATTATCTCCTGGTATGGACTCATGGAAAGGGTATAGTATCCAGGCTCTGATGGGCATTCCCACAAGGATATTTGCATGACCTTTATAATTAGATTCTCATTTTCCATTTATACACTGAATCTCCTATGTGAAGGACCTCTTAAATACTAGGAATAGAATATCAGCAAAGGAACTGCCAATAGCTTCAACCTTTGTGTCCACATTACAGAGGAAAAAAATGGGCATCAACTCTGTAATCACTTAAATATATAATAAGGGAAATATCAACAGTGGCTATAGAGAGAAAAATAAAGCATGTAGAAATGAGTTCCTCCCCCCACCTCTATCTAGTCAAGGTAGTGGTAATAAGAGGATGTTTGAACAACAACCTAAAATATTGAACAAATAGAACAAGTAGGCTGTCTGTTTTGGAAGATTTTCAGAAATCTTTGCAAGTGCAAAGTCTGAGACAGGTACTTGTGGGTCTTGAGAAATTTGGGGAAAACCAGGAAGTTAACTGGCTAGCGTAGAAGGAGCAAAGCAAAGATTTTTACATACTATTTCAAAACTCCTGGGCAAGGCACTGTTCTGGACACTTGACAATTTTAACCCTTTAATTCTTCTAGTAATTTGGCCAAGATGACACTGATACTATCCCTCATTGCAGAAATGTGGCATCTAGATATGCCGGGATTAGGTAACCAGCTAGTGGGCAGCAACGCTGGAGTAGGAACAAAATAAGATTGGCTCTAAAGCCTGAGCTCTTCACTACCACATGGGGCTGAGAAAATACTCATTGACGGCGGGATGATCCAGATGAAAGCAGAAAGATGCTGACCAAAGAGAGAGTGGACAATTTCAGGTAGCAAGCAGAGTTATGCACAAGCAGAGAATGGCCTTAATTATCACTTAAAATAACAGGAAAGCCAAATACACTGGCACAGATAC